CACAACCCCACGAGACAGGACCTATATTATACCCATTCATTCATTATTTATTTATTTATTTTGAGAAGGAGCCTCGCTCCATGTTTTGAGACAGAGGAGTGAGGAGGAGGCACCCTTCACCCAGGCTGGAGTGCAGTGGCGTGATCGCGACTCACTATAACCTCCGCCTCCCGGGTTCAAGAAATTCTCCTGCCTCAGCCTCCCAAGTAGCTGGGATTACAGGCGCCCACTATCACGCCTGGCTAATTTTTTTTTGTATTTTTAGTAGCGATGAAGTTTCACCATGTTGGCCAGGCTGGTCTCCAACTCCTGACTTCAAGTGATTCGCCCGCCTTGGCCTCCTGAAGTGCTGGGATGACAGGTCTGAGTCACCGCGTCCAGCTATTACACCCATTTAAAAAGGAGGAAAGATGCTTTAGAGAGATCACACACAGATTCAAACTCATATAATCTGGCATCAGGGCTGAGATCTTAACTGCAACATACATTAGCTTTCAGAGCAGCTTTTGCCTGAAGACAAGCATAATATTCCTTGTTTAATAGATATATCACCAATGCATGCAGACATGTTGGAAGACCCAGTTGTGAATATGGGTTGAATTGTGTATCTATTTCCATTAACACTAGAAAGGGTTGTCTGAGAGACAGTGTGAAGACTTTCCTGGAAATGTTTCATAATGATATTGTTTATATCCACCTGGGAGAGTGAAGGTAAAATGAAGTCACTTCACTTCCAGGTAGTCCACGGCAAGCTGTAATCCCCACTCTGCAGATGTTCTTGGCTGCACAGGGCTTTAATGCATGCTATTTCTCCTACTCCTTGAACACGTGGGATATTGAGCCTGACAAATTAGCAGTCTTTTCTTGTTTCTTTGATTGGAAGCATGTTTTCATCGCTGTCCTTGTTTTGTTTTCTCACTCTGTCACCCAGGCCTGGAGAGCAGTGGCACCATCACGGCTCACTGCAGCCTTGACCTCCCTGGGCTCCAGCGATCCTCCTGCCTCAGCCTCCTGCGTAGCTGGGACTGCAGGCTTACAGGTGCACGCCACCATGCCTAGCTAATCTTTGTGTTTTTTGTAGAGATGGGGTCTCAATATGTTGCCCAGGCTGGTTTCAAACTCCTGTGCTCAGGTGATCTGCCTGCCTTGGCCTCCCAAAGTGCTAGGATTACAGGCACGAGTCACCCCTCCCAGCCTTCATTGCTATTTTTCTATCAAAACAGCAGGTTAATATTTTGACATTTTTTTTTTTTTTTTTTTTGAGATGGAGTCTTGCTCTGTCACCCAGGCTGGAGTGCACTGGCATGATCTCAGCTCACTGTAGCCTCCACCTCCTGGGTTCAAGAGATTCTCCTGTCCTCAGCCTCCTTAGTAGCTGGGATTACAGGTGCTCACCACCATGCCTGGCTAATTTTTGTATTTTTAGTAGAGACGGGGTTTTGCCATGTTGGCCAGGCTGGTCTCAAACTCCTGACTTTAGGTGATCCACCCGCCTCAGCCTCCCAAAGTGCTGGGATTACAGGCGTGAGTCACTGTGCCCGGCCCAACATGTTCATATTTTAAAATGAAGAACAAAACAGCCAACCTAAGAAAAGAAACAAGCAGGTACCCAAAGGCATCTCAGGACAAAAAACCTGTGGCTGAACAATTCAATCTACATTATAGCCATTGAGAACAGTATTAATTTCTCAATTAACAGCAAGAGCAGAGAGGTCATGAACAGATAAGGCTGAGTACCAAATTGCTAAAACATTTTGAGATGTGCTAGCATAAAAGCTTCTTGTAAGTAAGGTATGCTTATTCAGTACAGGTATTGATCGACTTACCACCTATGCAACTTACGACCATTCGACTTTACAACCGCAATCGCTAGCCACGACTGCTCCACGTCTGGCAGCGCAAACGTTGGACCAGCTTCCGGCAGCACTACCATCTGCGCGTGCACCATTTCAACTGTACATATGGCCTACTCAACGTACGACCAAATTGTGTTACGACCGGTCCGCGGTCCCGACCGTGGTCGTAAGTCGAGCACTAGCTGTATAACCAAAACAATAATTATTAGAAATTATGAAGGCAAGGAGGCTGGGCACAGTGGCTCATGCCTGTAATCCCAGCACTTTGAAAAGCCGCGGCAGGAGGATTGCTTGAGGTCAGGAGTTTGAGACCAGCTTGGGAAACATATTGAGACCCTGTCTCTACAAATATAATTACCTGGGTGTGATGGCACACACTTGTAGTCCTAGCTACTTGGGATGCTGAGGAAGGGGGATGATTTGAGCTCAGGGATTGCAGGCTGCAGTGAGCCCTGACTACACCACTGCACTCCAGCATGGGTGACAGAGCAAGACCTTGTTTCTTAAAAAGAACATGAAAGAAGGAAAGAAAGGAAGGAAGGAGAGAAAGAAAAAGAAACAAGAAAGAAACAAAAGGAAGGAAGGAGAGAAAGAAAGACAGGAGAGAGAGAGAAAGAAAGAAAGAGAAAGAAAGAGGTAGATATATGTCAAATAGAAAAAACCCCGGTCGTTCAAATTTTCCTAATAGATTAGAAGACAGACAAGAGCACAGATGATGATGTAGGGAAGAGACTAGGTTCCACCACGCTTTACCCAGCCATCACAGTCAGCTTGGAATTAGAGCTAATTAGGAAGAAAGGAAAGAGCATTTTTGACACCTGCCGGAGGCTGGCCAGGTGCTGCAGTTTCTCTGTGTCCTGCACCAGTGGGTGGGCTTCTTGAAGGCACCGATTCCTCTTCCCTCTTTCAGTGCCTTCGCCGCTCCTGCACCTGGGGGAGCTCAGCGTGGGTTTGCTCAGTTCAGGTGACAGCTAGGTTAGAAATGGATTGGGAAGGGTGTTGCTGAGGAGGTTACAATTTATAATCTAATAAGAGCCGTTATAGGTTCTTGAAAAGGCTTTTTTCTTCTTTCAATTAAAAGTGGTTTGGTTAGTGTAGTGCAGGGTTTCTCAGCCTCAGTACCATTGGCATGTGGAGCTGGATCATTTTTGTTGTGGGGGCTGCCCGGTGCCTTGTAGGATGTTTAGCAGAATCGCTGGCCTCTATCCACTCATGCCAGTGGCATCTCCTAGTTGAACAACCATAAATGTCTCCTGGGGGCAAAACTGCCCTGGCTAAGAACCGCCAGGATGTTAGGGGGAGTGCTGAGCCTCGAGACAGGGGAGATCAGAGTAAGAAGAGCCAAAAAAGGTGGGTGGATGGAAGAGACACTAATGCAAGTGTGATCTAAGAGCAGTGACTCCCATCACTGTTGCTGTGTCACACAATATTTAGGAGCCTAATATACAAGCGTCATGTAGTATTGAACTACAAATGCACATGAACAATTCACAGGCATTCCCATTTGTTTCTTTTGGAAAAATATAAAACCTGACATTGCTTGGAGAAAACTGGAGCCAGAGTTGTCAGGAAGAGGTTATGGCCAGGTGTCCTTCTGCCCGAAGACGTTTATGCCTTACATCACTGGCAGTACCAAAAGTAAACGTGCCTGTTAATGAAAATTGTCGTTTTATGTTTACAAAGCTTTTGGTTTATTGTACAAGAGAAAATTTTCCTATAGTTAATGCTCTAATTCCCCCCTGCTAAGGAGTAAACTGTAAAAATACAATCTGTTACTCTTTGAAATGTGGAGAGGTGTTCCTTAAAGTCTAGAGGATGTTACATGAAATCAGCTTCAAGACAGGCTTGAGCGGACAGGAACATGAAATATATATTAGATGCAAACGCTTTGGTTATGAAAATCTGCACGTGTCTATTCCAATGGCATCAGCTGATACCGAGTTCACTGTAACCTAGTCATGTCACAGCAGCATCTGGGGACATATGATCGTGTCAGCACTGCTGTTTACCCAGTTAAATAAGACAAAGATTAGGTGAAGTTGGTGCTACTTACGGCTCACTGCCTTTGCTTCATTTTCCTAATCCTCCTTATTTTCACCCCTGCAAGAAAGAAAGAACAGTTCTAATAGCTTTCTGCTTCTAAGTATTGATGACTGGAATGTGGGGATCCTTCTGGGTAGATGTCCATTTGGAAAAGATATTTGCTTCGTGCCTTTTGTGCTGACAATGGTGAAAGAAATTTCCTGATGGGATCTGACTCTTGATACATGATCCTTAGAGGTAATGTCCCTGTGGATGGTGGTGCCAGTCTGGCCCCTTATACGACCTCACAGGTGTGCTTGGGATCATTTAGAGTGGGTTTCATTTCTATTGCAGAAGGAGTTGATGCAGGGTGCAGGAAATCTACTCCTATTTTCCAAAGTTAGTTTCCAGGATAGTAACACATCCCGTGTAATTTTGTACTTTAAGTTCATGTTTTATATGGCACATTTTTTTTTTTTTTTTGAGACAGAGTGTCTGTTGCCCAGGCTGGAGTGCAGTGGTGCAATCTTGGCTCACTGCAGCCTCTGCCTCCCAGGTTCAAGTGATTCTCCTGCCTCGGCCTCCTGAGTAGCTGGGATTACAGGTACATGCGACCACACCCAGCTAATTTTTGTATTTTTAGTAGAGACAGGGTTTCACCATGTTGGCCAGGCTGGTCTCAAACTCCTGACCTCAAGTAATCCACCTGTCTCGGCCTCTCACAGTGCTGGGATTACAGGCGTGAGCCATCGCGCCTGCCCCACCATCTTGGATTTGTCATTCAGCACAGCACGGAAGTTGGCGCCCGGCATCTTGCTTCCTTGTGCAATATTTCCATCTCCTGGGATGGTGCCACTTGAGGAGGGGCCTGTCTGGACTTCCACCAGCCCCTGGCTTTCAGTCCATTCCAGCTTCTCGAAGCAGAACTCTGTCCCTGCTTGGGGGACCGAGAAGGCACAAGGGCAGACCCACACATCCAGGAAGGCTGTTGGTCATGTAGTGTGAAGCCAGCATCATGGCAGTAACTGTTTGGGAAGATCTGGTCTCTCTGGTGTGCCCCGGTCTGTTCACTGTCCTCACCCCTTCTTTCACATGCCCTCTGCCCTCTTCCCCTTCTTTTCCTTTTCTTTCTTTCCTTCTTCATTTTCTACATGACGTAACAACTTTTAGGTAGCAAAGCATCTGCTAGGAGTCATCCTGGCTTTTGTGTGTAAACCTGGTTCTTTTTAGGATGCTCTTTAAAAGAGCTTGATCTTAGGGGGCCAGGAGGCGTGCTGTCTCAAACAGCCTTAGAGCAGTATGTCCAGGAGCCCAGGCATCTGCTAGAAAAGCACGGGTAGCTACAAAAGATGAGGGTTTCCATCAGTCAGAGAATCAATGAGTAAGTTCTCTCCTACCCACGGAGTGCGTGCAGTCCCACATCTAGGAAGCAGTCAATGGCAACACACCTCGCTGTGGGGCTGGGCCGCAGTGCCTCAGTGCTGCTGCTCGTTACCCTGTGCCCTCGGGTCACACGCTGGCATCCTGGCCCCTGCTTCCTGATTCATAACTCAGGGATGATGGCAGCGAGCTCCCTCATCCAGCTGTGGTGCGGGTTGAGTTTATAAATTTAAAATGCTAGCTCACAATCCACACTCAAGAAGTGTCAGCTATAACAATATCATTATCCTTGTCCTCGAGGAACCTGCAAACTAGTTAGACAGATGGAACAACACATGTGAAAGAATTACGAAAATGAGTCCGTCCGGTGTAGTGGCTCATGCGCAAAAACGCCACGGAGTGTGACAAATGAAATGTTTCAGCATCTGAGCGGTCAGGTGAGGTCAGCAGAGGAGGGAGATTATGTTAGAGCTTGCAGGTTGGTTAAGCCAACATATATTAAGCACCTACTCCTGTGACTCACTCACCCAACTGAGTGTTTGCCATATGACACTGATTTTGCCAATCACGTTTTGCTAATCCTAAAACCAGGCACAGTTAGGCTCTTTGTGCTAGGTACTGGGCTACATAACCTTCCATGCATGATGCTTTATTTCATCCTTTCAACAACCCCCTTGGAATGAGGTAGTAATTATTTTATTTTATTATTTATTTATTTTTGACAGAGTCTTGTTCTGTTGCCAGGTGCCAGGCTGGAGTGCAGTGGCGTGATCTCGGCTCACTGCAATCTCCGCCTCCCTGGTTCAAGCAATTCTCCTGCCTCAGCCTCCCAAATAGCTGGGACTACAGGCGCGTACCACCACGCCCAGCTAATTTTTGTATTTTTAGTAGAGACGGGGTTTCACCATGTTGGCTAGGATGGTCTCAATCTCTTGACCTCGTGATCCGCCCACCTCGGCCTCCCAAAGTGTTGGGATTACAGGCGTTAGCCACTGCGCCCGGCCATAATTTTATTTTTTGAGATGGAGTCTTGCTCTGTTGCCCAGGCTGGAGGGCAATGGTATGATCTTGGCCCACTGCAACTTCCGCCCCCCTGGTTCAAGTGATTCTTCTGCTTTGGCCTCCTGAGTAGCTGGGATTACAGGTGACCACCACCACATCCGGCTAATTTTTATATTTTAGTAGAGACAGGGTTTCACCATGTTGACCTGGGTGGACTGGAACTCCTGACCTCAAGTGATCCACCTGCTTTGGCTTCCCAAAGTGCTGGGATTACAGGTGTGAGCCACCGTGCCCAGCCGAGGTAGTAAGAATTTTATGGACAAAGAAACTGAGGTTTTGGAGCTGTTAGTTTGTCTAACATCAAAGCCCTAACACATGGCAGAGCTTAGAATGGAGCAGGATCACAGGTTGCCTGATGGCAGAGCATGAAAAAAGCGGAGGTGGAAGGCTGGGTATGGTGGCTCATGCCTGTTATCCCAGCACTTTGGAGGCCAAGGTGGAAGGATCCCTTGAGCCCAGAAATTCAAGACCAGCTTGAGCAACACAGTGAGACTCCATCTCAACTAAAAGTAAAAAAATAGCCAGGCATGGTGATGTGCACCTGTAATCCTGGCTACTTGGGCAGGAGGATCACCTAAGCCTGAGAGTTTGAGGCTGCGGTGAGCTACGATCATGCCACTGCAGGGAAGAGGAGCATGTGGGGTGTTAGAGTCTGGGCACAGAGGGAGAGTGGAAGACGTGTGGAGGGCAGGGACCCAATGAGGCCAATATTCTAGTGGGAACAGGGCATCTGTGGGGGAGCCTGTGTGACATATATAATGTGGCTTGAGACTAATGGGCTACTGGCAGATAAGAGCTAATTTCAGCTTGAGAGAAGGCAGCCAGGCAAAAGGAAATAGGAACCACGCAGATGTGACCTAGCGAGGACTCAGAGTTGGGGGCAAAAAGAACAAAGAGAAAACTGTGAAGTCTGGGGGACCCCTTGAAGGCAGTATTGAGAGGTGTCTGTGACTGTCTGGATGAGGACGGTCGATGAAAAGGGAGGATGAGAGTGATCTCAGAGTCGTTGCCCCAGCAGTCCTGAAAATAGTGATCTTTGACCAGGCTGGGAAAACAGGGAAACTGGGTGAGAAAGGAGCTGTTCTGCTTTACACACATTAAGCTTGGCGGAACGTGTGGGAATCCTGTAAACATTTGGACAGATGGAGATGGGGCATGTCTCCAAGCCTGGAGACAAAGATTTGAGAATCAGCCATACAGAGGGAAAGGCTACATCTGCAAAGCAGTGGTTCAGGGCCAGAGTGAGGACAAATGGCCACAAAGGGAAAAAGAGTGATTGGTTTGGATGGCTACAGCAAAGTCAGGAAAACAGAAACAGTGTGTCACGGAAGAATGGCCCCTCCACATGAGACAGGGCAGAAGTCAATCGCTCAGGTCCTGTGAGGAAGCCGACCTGGACCCAGTGGACTGTGAGGGTGGAGGAATCCCCACCTGCCTCTGGGGTGATGGAGAACTACCTGGGAGGCTTAGGGATGACAGGCAGAAAGAGCATTGGGTTGTTTGGTTTCTTTTTTCATAGAGACAGCATCTTGGTGTCACCTAGGCTGGAGTCAGTGACACTATCAAAGCTCTCTGCAGCCTCAAACTCCTGGGCTCAAGATACTTCTGCCTCACTCTCCCAAGTAGCTGGGACTGCAGGCACACACCACCATGTCCAGCTAAGTTTTGAATTTTCTGTAGAGATGAGGTCTCACTATGTTGCTTAGGCTGGTCTCGAACGCCTTGGCACAAGTGATTCTCCTGTCTCGGCCTCCCAAAGTGGTGAGATTACAGGTGCGAGCCACTGTACCCAACCTCCAACCAGCCATTAAGTGATACTGTCAAAGAAAAATATTCAGAGCATATCTGACGGATAGCTTTAGATGTCTTATACCAGAATAATAATGATTCGTTATTAAAATATGCAAAGTGTAATTTCTCAACAATGTTTTGTGGTAGGAAGATGAGCTAGTACAGTAGTTTTCCTTATTAGATTATTTCTTTACAAAAGTAATTGACATGGTTTGGCTGTGTTTCCACCCATATCTCACCTTAAATTGTAGTAATCCCTACATGTCAAGGGTGGGGCCAGGTGGAGATAATTAAATCATGGTGGTGGTTTCCCCGTAGTCTTCTTCTAATAGTAAGTTTCACAATCTGATGGTTTTATAAATGGGGGTTCCCCTGCACAAGCTCTCTCCCTGCCGCCATGTAAAATGTGCCTTTGCTTCTCCTTTGACTTCTGCCATGGTTCTGAGGCCCCAGTCATGTAAAACTGAGTTCATTAAATCTCCTTCCTTTATAAATTAGAAAAAACAC